CCCTACCTTTTTTATACTGCCCTCTTGGGATGCCCCCTCAGGATCAGTCAGCATTTGCTGTGAAAAGAGAAAAAAAAATGCACAGACTAAGTAAATTTGCAGGTACAGGAAAATTAATAGATATGAAAGTCCAGAGCTCTCAAATCCAACAAAACCAGATAAATGATCAAAAAATTATATAGAATATACCAATCCTACTGCTATTATACTATATGTACTGAACTTTACCTGCCATTTTGGTTTGGGACTCCTCTTCTACAATTAAATCAATCCAAAGTTGATGAGTAGTTTACACTGCAGCCTGAAGCCCCTGTTCACCCAAAGCATGTAAACCTATATTTACATCCTTAAGTTTAAATGTGTGCAAATCCCACTGAAGTTAATAGCTAACCAGGGAACTAGTAGGAAAATTCTGCTTGTTTGGAATATATCTGGCTAGTGCTGAGAATCCACTAGTATCCGAGATTCTAGCTGTGTCATTTTAATCGGACAAAAGTTTTGTGGGTTTTTTTAACTTTTATTCTCACCTCTCTGTGCACCAGTGACAACCAGGGGCCAAAAGAAATCTTTCCATCATTTGGTTTCTGTGGCTTAATATCCACAGAGTGCTTAACCACAAGTTAGTTCAGGTAGGTCAGGCACCAAAATTGCATATAATACTCTACAGAACCATCATGATAGACATATTGGAGAAGAGCTTGGTTCAATTACTCAGCACCCAGCTAGCAAAGTTTTAAAGAAGTTTCAGGCTAAGTACAGACAGTCAAAAAGCCTGAGTCTGAATCAATTCAATCTTTACAGGTTAGTCCAAGCTGCGTAGATTAAACTGATAAGCAAGTGAACAGACATTCATCTTAATTCTGGGAATGTAGCCACATGCCGGCAGTGGCTCAGGCCAGAAGCTGCGGGGCACTGGAGCATGCCTCCTGTTTTGCTGGAGCAGACAACTTGGGTCAAGCTTAGCCCACCCACCCTGCTAGGGAAGGTTTTCAGGGGAGGTGCAAAGCATCCTTGGATGCTGGAAGACTGTGAGTTAACTTGAATCTAGAAGGGATCTGGGACAGAAGTTCAATAAACTGATTGAAACTAAATCAATTAAATTTGATACTACATCCATTCAGGTTTATCTTAAACTGGTTTCAGCCATTTTGAAAAACGGTTTATGTGCATTGAACTTCTGTTGTGTTACAGGTCTGAACCAGTTTATGATCCCTTATACCAGTTTATGTGTAACTTCTGTCCCTAGCCTCATTGGCTTCTATGGAAGCACTGAGGGCATTTTTTCATGTGTTGCAACACCGGGTGCTTTTAATTAGTGCTAATTAAAAGTGCCCAGTGTTGCATCGGAACCAGGTATATCAGTGGTGCAGCGCATATCTGCACTAAGAAAATGGTGGCAGTGCGCTCTGAACTAAAGCACATCGCACGTGCTTTAGTTCAAAGTGCACAACCACCATTTTTTCAGTGCTGATCTGCACTGCGCTGCTGATACACATGAGCCTGCCAGCACATGTCAATTTACATGCTTGAGCAGACTCAATTAAATTTCCAGCACATGGGAGCAGACTCCCTGCATGTGGGTAAGTGCCCTCTCACACATTTAAAATTTTATATATGTTTTAGTGATGAATTGGGGCTAATGTACTCAAAGCCCAGTCACATTGGGCCCTAAATGCAGTGTTAGAGCCCCCTTGGCCATCAATTATCAAAAATAAAATGACACATTTTAAAGAACCATTTTCCATTTTTTCCTACTTGAAAAGAAAAAGAAATGGCCAGATCCTTGGTCAGGGTAAGTTGGCTCATCTCTGATAAAGTCAACAAAGCAATGTTGATTAATGCCACATGAGGATTTGGCCCCAAATCACCAGGTTACTGTGACCCAGTCCAGGTGAGACTCACCAACTCACTAAAATAAAAAATGTGGGCAAATACGTTTGAGCTCAGCTGTAACAACATGCTGTATTTTAAATACTGAGAATTCTAACGCATTCTATATTTTATGCTGTTTTTAATAGATACTGAAACTGTGGTTTAAAAAGTAGCTAAAAGCAAACAAGAGTAGGAGGTGAATGCCAGAGCAATAACGACAGAATATTTTTTTTTTTAAATGAAGAGAAAGCAGCATGGAGGCAAAAAGCTAAAGTCTGTCATGTACTACTGCAAGGAGATGCCATTAAGCTGTTGGGGAAAGACCTCATTTTTCAAGGTTCTGAGCACTCACACATCCCATTAATGCTACTGGGCACTAATGGTCCTCAGCAGCCTTTGGGAAGCACACCACTAAATTGTACTTCCGTTTGATCATTGGTACTATAGTCTAAATATAATACACAAGGGATGTGCGAAGCGGGCCCTATTCGATTCGGATTTGGCCCGAATCAGGGACAGTGATTCGATCAGTTGATTCGGATCATTGTCTTTGATTCGATTTGGCCAAATCCAAATCTGAAGATTCGATGCTGATTCAGAGAATAAGCAATTTGGCCATAGACACAGCTTTAAATGTTTTTTCTACATACCTCAAGGTACTAGGCACAGCTCGTGAATGCTGTGATGCTGGGGCACATGGAGCATCCCACAGGAGTGCGTGGAGTGGGGGGGGGGGCTCCACATGCTCGACAACAAACCTGGAAATAGACCGGAAGTATTTCTGGTCCGCTTCCGGGTCTGCCGGCTAGCGTGCTGAGGGGCCTCCCCACACCTCCCCATCTCAGTGATTGACTATGGGGGGGACCCCAGGTGCCTCCCCCAGACCCAGGAGGCACCAGTCACCAAGCCGGAGGGGCACAGGGGAGGGGGGTGTCCTCCAGCATGTTCCCTGGTGGACCCGAAGTGCTTCGGGTCCGCTTCTGGGTCTGCTGCTGAGCACACTGGGAACCCCCCATGCTTCTGTGGGACACTCCATGCGTCCCACCATCATAGCACTCACAAGCTGCCTGCTACCTAGAGGTATGTAGAAAAAACATTTAAAGCTGTCTCTATGTCCGAATCGCCAAATCTTTCCGAATCTCTCCGATTCGATTTGGAGAGATTAAAGGGTCCTCTGATTTGATTTGGATTCAGAGATTCAACCACTGAATCTGGCTGAATCAAATCAGGGACCAAAGCTTCGCACAGCCCTATAAGACACCTATGGTGGGAGCACTGATTTGCATTTGGGACACATTGATAACATCAGGTGAAGAAGCTCAATATTAACTATGGACTCTTAGGGCTTTGCAGTTCCTCAGTCTATGGCAGGGGACTTCCTGGACTTTGGCAAACTCCTTTAATTACTCCTAGTTCCCCCAGAACAGCCTGGGTAGGCCTCAGGAGGCCAGGTACTACCTTTTGTTTTGCAATGGTTATGCAGAAAGATATACTGACCTTTCCAAAATGTTTATTTAGGGGGGCGGTGGGGGGGGGGGGGGGGGGGGGGAGAGGGGAAGAAGGAGGGGGTCAGAATTTCCTTTGTGCAGGAAATTTCCAGTTTTCGTCATGGTTTGGAGTTTCTCAGGAAATAGTGACCAGTTCTAGTTACAAGACTTCCTTTGTCTAAGCTGCATAACCACTTAGGGGCAGGCCATGTCAACTCACTAAACGTTCACTCCAAGAGTGGACCTTGATGTATGCGCTACGGGGAAACAAACAAAAAATAAGACATTCAATAAGGGGGAGAAAAAAGAAAGCCTCATAAGTGATGTTTATTAATAAGAATAACAAAAACACTTTGAAAAGCTATCCATTAGGTAATTCTAGCTCAGGCTGCACTTTGTCTCACGTGAATGCCATAATACTAAGTGTAAGGCTTGACATGCTCAGTGGGCTTGGATTCTGCCATTAACACAGATGTTCTTAAATGTACTCAAAATTTACACCATATGCTCCTTCTTTCAACTGATATGTTGTTTTTAGCCAAAAGAAAGACAACATGTCAGCAGCAGCCATGTCAGTGAAACTTTTGTTTTAGGAATCTGGTGGGAAGTATCTCCTCCAATTGTTGATGAACCTCTTTGGATTTCATTCCCTGGATTTAGAGAACTGGTGGCAGCAGAATCCCTGACTGTTACATTAGTTAGGGATGTGCTATAATTTTTGCAAAGCCTCCCGAATGTATACTAAACATGTCAAGTAACACCATGTGATTCTTTTTGAAAAACAGTTTACAAGCTGGCATTCTCCAGCTGCAGTTAACCCTAATTTGATTACATTACCGAGACAGATCACAATGAGCTTATGTAAATAGTAATGTTATCCATTCATTCCGTGAGCTCAGATAAACTGTCATTTAAAAAAAAAATAGGCATGGTTTGATGGGCTCAGCAAGCTCTGAGGTGAAAAAGTTATTTGATAGGCCAAGCCCTACTCTACAATGTCACTGGGAATCCTGGCTTTATTGAAATTAGTCCAGATTTACATGACTATAATTGAGAGTAGAATTTGTTCAAAAGAGAATAGAGTTGGCATGCAGCGAATCATGCTTCCTCTCAATTATTTTTCTTTATCATCATCACTGGCTCTTAGCTAACGGAGACACTGATAAACAAAAGCATCACATTTCAACACTGCAGAAGTCAATGTGACTTAAGCATATGCTTACAGTTAAGCATGTAACAGTTTTCTTGGACTAAATCCTAAACAGCTGTTTGCTGTTGTTACCTAAAATATAAAAAAAATCACCACAGCAACTTACACATACTAGATATAGTGTTCTTCACAACAATATACAAAGGCACTGTATGCTTGACTACATTAGCCATAATACTACTACTTCACTTTTATGTGGCACATGCCTTTCATCAAAGGCAGCATAGTCGCACGCTAAAGAAAGGACAGAACCCTTGCTGACAGCTAAAGTAGGAATCTTCTAAACACTTTTCGACTGCAGGTGTCAGGAACATCAACAAAGCAAACATTTTGAAAATGCAGTGACAAACCAACCCCCACATCCTACATCCTTAAGCTGCCGAACAGAATCCTGGGCCCATGACAACATTTCAGTCAAGTCAGTTGGATCCTACATGGGCAGACAGCTCCATGGTGGAAAAGCATCATGTAGGCTCTGGTCAATTAAG